TGAGCTCCGAGTCACCGAGAAAACTTGGTCAGATGTTAGCAGCTTACTTCCCTGAGGAAGATGGAAGCGTTACATACGTAAGGTTCAAAAACAACGAACCTGGAATTGCGTACCAAATTCGCAATTACATGACCATGGAAGAGTACGAAAGGTTCCTACAAGAGAAACCAGCTCTAAACAACCCAGAAAAGAAAGAGTAAAAAGTTTAACTCGTAATTGTTTATTTTTTTACTTGTATGGGCAAGCTGCAAGAATGAAGTCGACTATCTCAGTCTTTGTCTTGACCAGTTGGACTGCTCTTGCGAGTACGTCTGTTTTGCGGTCTCCAGCTGGTGTCTGACCTTCGTAATTGCGCATGTTCTTGAGAGCTCCAACTGTAAATGGTTGTAGGATGAAGAGTCTCTCAGACTGCTTGAGGTAGTCTTCACGGTCACGAACCGAATCTGTGGTACGAGTCGAATCGGTCGACCTTAGGGAAGAGACTGAAAGCCTGTCATCTTCCATAGGGGCTGTGGCATACTCTTTGCGTAAACGGTTCAGACCTTCTTCGAACTCTTGGTCTCTCTTGGATTGAGATTGGAATTGGAATTGGGGTGGAGGGTTTGACATGAACATCCAAGGGTTAGGGCAATAAGGCATAGGCTGAGGAGGGTAGTTCGGGAAGCCTTGTAGTGGAAATTGGTAGTAACCTTGAGGTGGAAATTGGTAGTAATTTGGTGGAGGGACTTGCTGGAACTGAGGTACTTGTTGGAACTGAGGTTGCTGAGGTGCAGGGGCTGGTGCTTTAGGTTCCTCTGGTTGGGATATGGGCTCGGTTGGTGGTACGTCGGACATTGTCTTGAAACAATAAAAGACTTGTCTTGAAAAAGTAAAAGACTTGTCTTGAAACAATAAAAGACTTGTCTTGAAAAAGTAAAAGACTTGTCTTGAAAAAGTAAAAGACTTGTCTTGAAAAAGTAAAAGACTTGTCTTGAAAAAGTAAAAGACTTGTCTTGAAAAAGTAAAAGACTTGTCTTGAAAAAGTACGGGTATCGTCTGAAATCAAGACCACTGTTCTCAAATTTGAGAACTTTACACCAAAAAATTTCTTGAAAAATAACGGGTCTTGTCTTGAAAAAGTAAAAGACTTGTCTTGAAAAAGTAGACTTGTCTTGAAAAAGTAAAAGACTTGTCTTGAAAAAGTAAAAGACTTGTCTTGAAAAAGTAAAAACTTGTCTTGAAAAAGTAAAAGACTCGTCTTGAAACAATGACCGACATAGACCCAGCAGATGAGGCAATCTACCTTATAGAGATAAATGCTAGTTAGGACTACCTGAGCCATCTGAAGTCAACAAGACCATTGCAGGCTGGGTGTCTGGAAGAAGTGCGCTTAAAATTGAAATTGACACTGGAATTGTCCTGCAAATACCAGAAAACACTCCTTTCGACGACATAAAAGAGTGAAGAAAGAAGTCCTCTTGAAGTTCTTTGCCAAGCGTCCTTGGATACTACTTCCAAACAGAGAGAACCCAACTGTACGAATTGCCCAAATTCTCAGAGGACTCTTACACTTCTCGGGTCGGGCGTTTTTCATAAACACAGAAGGCGACATCGTACCTTTACAGTAAACATCTCATTTTAACTTACTTTTTTATGTTTTTACTCACACTCGTACTCAACAGGTATGTGTACACATATTCAACTGTGAACCTTGTATTGACCGGTCTTCCTGCAAATGCAAGTTCGGTCAATACACAATTTATGGTGGCAAGAAAGACAGTGGGGAATGTTATTCTGACATCTGTTGTTGCGCTCGAGAGAGAATTGAAATTCCAGACCCAACTCCAACACCAACACTCAAGTTGCCAAAGACTCATGTGAAGAAGAAGCCTTCTGGTAAGTTTCTTATAGCCATATACATGGCACGCTTTGAGTAAAAACATTTTTTTCATTTTTTGAATGAAGCAAGTTAAATTCGTCCCACACCAATCTCAATGGACCGATGAAGAGTTTCAAGCCATGGTTGAAGGTTTGAGAACGACATAGACGGCGAACTTGAAGGAGCTCAAACCACAATTGCAACCAAAATTGCACAAGTCAAGGAACAGATAGCTCCACTTAAAGCTACCAAAGCTACTCTTGACCTCATGGATACTTACCGTTTAGAAGTAAAGAGTGGAATAAGACAATTAAAATTAAAACTTCTAAACTACGAAGCTATACTCCAAAAGTTAGCAGAAATGAGAAGACTTTACCAGAGCTACTTACATGTAAGGGACTTACCTTCAAGCAGTCCGACCAAAGATGAATTTTCTGACATTGTCCCAATTTTGTCCGAAAGTCAGCTCAGATGTTTCGAACTGCTCCCAACATATCCAGAATATGAACGTTTGCCTGAACTCTTCCGCAATCTCAAAAAACGTTTTTTGGTTCTCATGTTCGAAACTTTTATCGGAAGAGACAACAAACGTTCAGAAGAAGAACAAGATATTATTTTAAACTTGTTGTATGACTTAACCGTCATAACAAGCTTTTTGAAGTAAAACCGTCATTCTCAAACCACTTCATTTTTTCGATGTCCGAACAAGCACCGAAGCCGAACACAATGGCAGATGTCCTTTCAATGTTGCCAGACAAGCGCCCAGTTCAAATTCAAATTTTGAATTTGAAAGCTCATCTGACAAACACCGTTAAGACTCTCCAAAGTAGTCTTATGGAAGAGATGAAGGGACTTAAAGGTGAGTTCCTCATGAACCAAGCTTCCAATGAGAAAGTCCTGAATGATTTGACGGAAACCTTGCGCATTTACGCGAGAGAGAACCGAGACCTTGCCAGACTCATCTACCGTTTCTTCGAAGAGATAGATGCCATCTGGAAGGTACTCGGAAAGGACAGAACATCAACACCGTAATTCGTGAGTACCAAATTGAAGAAGGAATTTCGAAAGAAGAGGAAGAAGAAGAAGAGGAAGAAGAAGAGAAACACGAAGAAGAGGAAGTTTGGGCAACCCTTGTTGCCGATGACGCTTACGAAATTTCCCAACCCTACCCATACAAAATCCGCAACAAGGCGACAGGCAAGGTTCTTACCCCAGTCCTCAACAACTTGGGACACTTGACCCTTACCCTTCGAAATTACGGTAAATTTCCATGGGAAGGCTTGTCGGTATGCAATGGGTTCCAAATCCAAACAAGAAGACGAAGGTCAGACACATTGACGGTGACAAGCTCAACAACCGTAAGGAGAACCTCGAGTGGTTCTAAGAGTAAAAAAATTTTATTTTAGGGGGAAACCCCAAGTAAATTTAAGTTTTTAGTTGCGTAAGCGGCTTAAATTAATGGTCATTTGCAAAATTAGTTCCTGACCTCTGAATTGAACTCTTTCGTCATCCCAGTTGCGTAGGAGGTCGTCCCAGAGGAGTTGGTAGAATTGCCAATCCAAGGACGATTTGTCCTCCCAGGCATTGAGGATGTACTGCTCGTAGAGTCTCATGACCTCTGCCTTGCACCAGACACCCTCTCCCTTGGAACGTAAGGCTTCTTCGAAGTGCTCGAATGCGATTGGCTGCGGACCATCCGAAATGACACTTTTTGTCCGTTTGGTCAATGTTCGTGTCTCGTGCCATAGTCGACGAAAATACAGACAAACAGGTTATATATGAGTTTGAGACCAAGAATGGTGTAACTCGACCTGTCCGATTCAAAGACTCCGAGGGCGACCATGAAATTAAACGGAAATTAGCTAGGAAGGAATATAAAAATTTTTTATTTCATGCAATGTTTTATTTCTGTGCCGTCTTCTTTAACACCCCAGTACTTACGCTTGGAGAGGACATGAACTTCGGTGAAAATTTTGTCCAATTTGAATTGACCCATCTTTTCACCGACCATTCCCATTTCAATGAGTTTGTTGTATCCTTCTTCGTTCGTCATGAGTGCGTCGATGTTCTCATAGTAAACCTTGACTTTGGATTTGACTTCGGAGAAGAATTTGTTGTACTCGTCAAGGACTGCTTTTGCGAACTGAGGGTAAGACCAATGTTCGACAATAGGTTTTAATGTGGTTACTAAGCCACTTTCACCTTCGGTAAATTCGTATTTCAAAACAAAAGGAGAAAACCTTTCAACAAAGTTGTCGACCTTCTCATAATGTTTACTCTTCATCTCTTGAGGTTTTAATGGAATATCCCCATGTCGAATTCATAAGCAATTTGAGTGTCATTGCAAGTTTGGGGTTTGAAGCTTTCCTAATATCATACAGTTGTTGTATGACTTTTCCAACTGTATAGTTCCTTCCTGGGAACTCACCATCTTCGTTTGGAATTCCAGTCGGGATATATTGGACGAACCTCATGTACGCAGCGTTAAGGTCGACATAGTATATTTTTTCATCTGAGTCGAACTTGTCGCATCCAATCGGTCCAGTTTGTGGAAATTCAAGTGAGTCTCTTATCTTCTGAGAAACTTCTCCTGTTATCTCATAAACATCGTCGAAGCAACCTGTTTCATATAAAACCTTCTGACCTAACTCAGATGCTCTCCAATACAATTTGACGTCAATTGGATGTCTCAATGGAAGTTTGTTTATAGCATCTTGAAGTTCTTGCAACCTCATTGGAAGTTCTTCTGGTTCAGGTTGGTATCCGAACAATCCAACTCCTTTTGGAACTGTGTACTTCTTTTGTACTAGAACTTTGTCTGGAACAACTTTTGGTCTTGCTAACAGTGAAAAGTTTGTTTCGTCTTTTGGTACAAAACTTTCTGTCAGCTTGTCATCTGGAATTGGTTCCAACAAACCTTTCTCGAAAAGAATGTTAACAGCTCTGACAATGTTGCACTTGCCTTTTCCGAACAATGGGTTTGTAAGACTTTCGTTCAACATGAAGTGGTTGTGGACAATTACAATCTTCAACCATGGTAAGTCTTTGTCAACAACATAGTCGTCATGTGAAGAACCTTTCTCAGTCGGAATGTTGACTCGGATATTCACATTTGCCAACGGTGCAATTTTAGCCAATTGACCTCTGAGAATGTACCTTGTCTTCACACATGACTCAAGATACTTCATCTTCTCTTCTGAAACAAGACCAGAGTTCCTGAGACATGTAAGAATACAAGGTTCATTGACAATTGTTTCAATTGAATTGTAAATTCCATACCTTGTCAAGTCAATGTCAGACTTATTTATGAAGGGGAAGTATCCAGCATGTTGTCTGACTGCTTGAGGGTTAGGTTGGTACCATTCGAACTTGACACTTGCAATTCCTTCAATTGCATTCAAAATGTCTGAGTCGGAGTCAACCATTTGTTCTCTCTTTGTAGTCTTGAAAGCGTCAAGAAGTTGTGCGGCTGTTTGTTCATTGCCATGCGCATAGTAAATGTGACCATCTAAATCTGTTACGGTTAGTCTGAGATTGTATCCTTTCTTATTTCCGTCTTGTATGGCAGCAAGTACTCCCATGAAGCCTTCTTTGTTCTTTCCTTCGTCAAAGTTTACTGTAAAGGTTCGACCAGATGTAATTTGACTTCTAACTTCACGATACTTCTCATATGCATATCTTGTTCTTTCCATGGGAGCATGACCATTCTCTGCACTACCTTTTTTCCTTCTCAAAGGATGCAATTGTTCGTCATGTTTCCAGTAGAATCTGGCAAAGCCGTCGTGTCCTTCAACTTGAGGTTCACTAACATCGAAAGGCATGTCCATAAGACGTTCTTCTTCTAACCTCTCTAGTCTGTTTGGATAATTTGCACGTGCTGTTTCTAGGTCCATTTCGTAGCGAAGACCAGACAATTTGTCATAGACTTTTATTGGCTTTCCCTTCCTATATTTAAACTTCTTCGAAACTCTCCAACCATATCTTTGCAACTCTGCTTTTATTCTAGCAGATTTTCTATCCATTCTATATGGGGGCATTTTTATAAAAATAAAAAAATATTTTTTTCTTTACTTAACATAACCGCCTGCTGCCATAAGTCTTTGACGCCAACCCATACCAGCTAATGAAGGTTGACTTGGTTTAGTATTGAAACTAAACTTTGGTTTTGGTTTATCTTCAGTTTTTGGTTTTTCTTCTTCTATCGGTTTTTCGTCACTTTTCGGTTCCTCTGACTTTACCTCACTTGCAGGATGTTGTGTCGTCAACATCTTCATAAATATCATATGCCATTTGTTTTTGTTTTCCTTTCAACTTTTTGTGTTTGTTGTAAAGTTTAGAATATTTCGACTCTAAGTCAATGAGATGTTCTATAATGAACTGTTGGTCAGTGAAGTAAACTTTTCCATCTGTTGTCTCGAAAGCTCCTTCAGACTTCAATATTTTATTTGTGAGAGTCTGTTTCTTTTTTGAGATACTAGCCGTTCCATTTCTATGAAAAGTGACTTTGTAGTTAGGGTTTGTATTTCCAGACCTGGCACTTTCTATTATTGAATTTTTCTCTTCATCTGTAAGTTCTTTGACAGGTTTTGACAATGGTTCTGAACTTTTTGTTTGTGGTGTCAAATCTACCGTTTCAACTTCTTCGGTCATTTCATCTCAGTAAAAAATTTTAGTTTGGTTTGTTTTCAACTGGTTGTTTAGGTTTTTTAAGTCGGTCTAAAACTTCCTGAGGTATAGGAAGAACTTGACAAACACGTGGTTGTGTAACTGCTGGAAGCCGACAAATCCATCTTGAACCCATTTGTCTCAATGCTGTATTGTTCATTTCATCTCAGTAAAAAAATTTACATTCCCCACGTTTGAGGCGGTTGCGGTTGGTTGTTGTTTACCCACTGTTGTGCATGGTTATATCCTCTGTTAAAGAATCTTTCACCTTGGTCCATATAGTGCCTGCTTGGTTATAGTAGTCATTTGCTTTGTTATAGTAGTTTCCTGCTTGTCTTCCTACATTGTCCATCCATCCTTGAACTTTTCCTCTTGTTTCAGGATTTGGAATAAGATTTGCTGCATCTCGTGCTACATCCCAACCTTTCTGTACAGTTTGTATAATAGGTTGTGCTTTCTCTTTAAGTATACCTAATGTACTCAAAATCTTCCTTCCAACTCCAAATACACCTCTGGCTATTGTTCCCACTGCGGGCAAAAATCTGGATGCAACTCCTGCTAATGCGCCAAATAAACCCATTTCTTATGGGTAAAAAATGACGAATCCAAACAAGGACCCCTATGTTTCTAAGGCAACAAAGAAAGCACTCATGATAAAAATCTTTAGTTCAACACCAAATGCTTGGTTTATGGATATCTTGGAAAACATTCCGAGGTATAGAGAAGATGGACCACCATACTGGCTAATATTTGTCGGTCAAAACACAAGATACTGTGAAGCCATACCATTCAGTCCAAAAATATTTTAGATGTGAAAACTGCTTTGACAATATTCGTTGACAAATACCATCCAACAAAACTGACATCTGACTGTGAAAGTTCTTTCAAATCAGACGATATTAAAAACTATCTGCGTTCAAAAAATGTAAACCAATATTTCATTGTCGACCAAAACCATTCTGCTCTTGGTGTCATTGACAGTTGTATAAAAATCTTAAGAGACTTAAACCAACCACAAGGTGGTGAGGTAGAAATGAAATGTCATATGACGACAAATATAGACACTTCTCCATGGCAAAGATGAGACAAGTTTTAAATATTTACAATAGCCGTAAACAAAAAGGTTTGGGAAACCACTCCCCCGAAGAAATGAAAAACAACCCTGACTTAGAGAAAGACTATATATTTAATAGTTTAGTCAAAAGAGACAAACAAGAAAGAATGCCAGGCTTCAAACTTAAGAAAGGTGACAAAGTAAAAATAGAAATACCTAAACGCGACCCATATGAAAATACTATTGACTATGACAACAATGGGAACTCGACAGGTACTCACATTCGTGTTCGTAAAAATAGAAGAAAGTATACAAGAGAATATTATGAAGTTTTAGGCAAACATGGCAAAATGTACAGACCTGCAAGCAGAAGATAAAACTACTATTGTCAGACCTCGTTTCAAACTTGTCAAAGTTCAAGGTGGTATACTTTCAAAGACAGTTCCTAACAAATATAAGACAACTCCTGACGAATATGCTAAAGAAGTTGAAAATGACGACTAAGCAATTCTATACCATGCGTAAACTGTCATGTAAGGTGGCATGTAGTCTTTACTTTGTCCCGTTGTTTGTATATCCTGAAACGCGATGTGTATGGTTTCCTTCTCCCTGAGTGTCACTCCAGTAACAATTTATAGCAAACTTAACGTCGTCTTTAACATCATATCCTTTACCTTTTTCATTCTGACCAATCCCAAAATCTATGCTTATGCCAACCTGCTTGAGATGTACTTAAATCTATGTAGTGACTGTGTGCAGGTAGGTTTTCACCTGAAATCGTTTTACTCCCACCTGTTTCCTTTGAAGAGTTTGCACAATACAAAAACCTGTCGACTATTTGAGTCCAAGTTCCAACCAAGTACTACTTCTGGTCTGGTAGAGTTCATTGACGTGTAAATAGAACCTATAGGATATAGTGTTTGAAGTATTTCTGTCTTTAACGTTTGAAGCTCTGTTTTGTCAGCTTTCTTATCTAACTCATCGTTAACATATGTTTTGTCAGCTTTTTTATCTAACTCATCGTTAACATATGTTTTGTCAGCTTTGTTGTCATATAAATCTTGAGCAGTGAATTTAACATTGTTTTCATCCTCCATGACATAGACATTTCTACATCTAGTGTATTTCATCGTCGTTATGTCATCCTCCGATGTTAAACCTTGTGGAAAGTTAGGAGGTTTCCAATTTAATACATCCCCACCAGTTCCATCAGGTTCTTCAACCGTTCCTGCAATATTTTCTATACCAACAGTTGCGAAGAAATCGTGTGTATGGTTCTTATCTGCCTTCTTTTCAAGGCTAACGTTTAAGTCTGTTATTTCAGAAGATGTATGTGTATGTCCAACGGCACTTTTCCTGTTTAAGGTTTCTTGTAAGTTTGTAATATTTGCAATGGTATGTGTATGTCCAACGGCACTTTTCCTGTTTAAGGTTTCTTGTAAGTTTGTAATATTTGCAATGGTATGTGTATGTCCAACGTCACTTTTCCTGTTTAAGGTTTCTTGTAAGTTTGTAATATTTGCAATGGTATGTGTATGAGTCTTTTTAGAATATTCGTTTTCAGCTCTTGTCACTTCACTTGACATTTTATTGTCAACATATGTTTTGTCTGCTAGTTCAGGATGAGTATGTTCTTTTGTTGCATATGTTGCATCTGCTCTGTCATGTTCTTCTTGAACTTTTTCAATGACATACTCTTTGTCAGCTTTGTTGTCAACATCTGCTTTCAAAAGAAGTTCTTTTATAGGTTTCTCGTTTAAAGTTCCTTTTGTTGGATTTACACAGACAGTATGGTTCTTACTGTCTTGAAATAGAAACTCATCTGTCATTGGGTTTATCGTCAGTTTTAAGTTTCCTTCTTTCAATGACTCAGATATCTTAGAATAGTTTGAAAAGTTTGTTGTGTTCTTATTTAGAGCTTGCAAAATGAGTTGTCGGTTGTGTTGTATTTCTCTCATAGACGCTGTTTCTTTCGACATTTTTATTCTAGATAAAATATGCTTTCAATAGAAAAAGAAAATTCAAGAGTTGCTACAACTAAACCATTAGATGAACTTTTTACGAATGTCGGTCAAAAGTTTGAGACAGAGACCGTAAAGCATGAAGGCTATCGTTTTGACTACCCGTTAAGATGGTTAAGAGACCCATCCGTCACAAAAGCTATTGGCTTTCGTAGAATGAAGTTCATTTCAGAAGCCATACATGGTTTCCCATTTACGGTCGCTTTTGAAGTTCGATACTATAACAAAGAAAAACGTACGTATGAGAAATTTGAACAGGGAAAACTTTTACAAGTGAATTTGCTTGTAAACTTAGAAACAACTCTTCAAGCTTTTCAAGAAAAAATAAACGATATCTATCTCGAATATGCAAAACAGTACAACATTGACGAAGGAGAGTACCATCTCGATATTATATATGACAGGAAAAATGCAACTGTTAAATTCAATAGAATAGAAGACCTTGGAGAAGACGTTTATATTTCTACAAAATATAACAACTTGGCATGGTATAGATTTTTGAGGATGTTAAATCAGCCTGCAGAATATCCAGTACACCCGAACTTTTATGAAGTCGAAAACCCTAATGGAACATATGAAAATGTTTTCGACTCAGATGCTATTATAGTTCATGCTTCATTTTCTGGTGCACAAAACTCTTTTTTATGCTTGGCAAATGACTTTTACGAAAAACCTACAAAGTTATACGAACCACCAAGTGGAAGTATTTCAGACTTTCAAGTATGGTTTACAACAGATGGAAGAAAGAGAATAGTTCCATTATACCATGCGTTTTACTTAGAACTTAGTTTCATATACAACTACTATCGAACGGTAAAATATAATCTTTTAATACGGTTGAGGTGTTGGATTTGGTTGCCAACTAGACTGTGGTGCAGGTTCAGGCTGTTGTATAACAGGAGCTTGTTCTTCTGGTTCAGGGTCTTTAGGTATAATACCAACGAACTGACCTACTCTTTTACCAATATTTTTGACTCCGTTCCAAATTCCTCTTCCGACAGATTTTATTCCATTCCATATACCTCTTCCAACATTTCGAAAAAGTTTCCTATTCTTCCAAAGAAACCCATTTTACTATATGTAAAAATCTAATGTCGCCTAGTCTCTTACGTTTCCTGTTGAGTTCCATAGCATTCTTTAACTGGAGCTCATACATTCTGTTTCTCCTCTGGTAGAAAAATTATCTGGGTCAACTCCTGTGTTCGCGTCATCTGCATAAAGTTGTTTATATCCCACTTCAGGGTTTGTATAAAACTCTTTCCATCTCATATTTGCATACCATGGTGGTAAGCCTAACGCAGCGTCATTTGACATGGCAGTTTGCATTTGTACATCTGTTGGCACTTGACCATAGTTTGCCATTGCAGTTTGTATTCTAACTTCATTTGGAATATTCTCTGGGTTTGGTTGTCCAGGTTGCTGTGCATTCGCTAAGTTCTGTGCGTCCATTTAATATTAGATAAAAATATCTCTTACGAGTACATATGCTGAACATTTGCAGGCATTGGTTCATCTTCATATTCTCTATATCTTTCTGCCACGTCAAAATAAGTAAATGACACAATGGAAAAACCTAAAACAAGTAGTCCTATTTCAACCACATTTACTTACTAGTAAAATTTCTTTGTTATGACACTTTCTCCAGTTTATAGGACCTCTCTCATATTCTATCTTATCGTATCTAAACTCATAGTCATGTATGTCCTCTAACCATCTCATGAACTTTCCAAACCACTTTTATCGGATGTAAAGTAAAAGCATGGATGGTTATGTAAAACGTCTAAAAGTTTCTAAAGAGTCTCTCAAAGTCCATCTACTTGGTATTGAAAATCCCATGTGTTAAAGAACGGCGGGTCACTATAAAGAAAACATTTTCCTTGTCTTTATATTTTTCATACAACTCTGTCCAATGACATCTCACAAACTCTATACCCTCATATATTTTTCTATGTCCTCTTTGAAAACATTTTATAGTTAGAATATAAAACTTTTGACATAAGTGTTTCAATGTCATGAACTCTTATAGCACCACTATATAATAGTCTAGCAGATATACTATCCCAGTCAATATACTCTGCCTTTTTCAAAACCTCTCTGACAGTATTTTTCTTATCTAATGGTATACGTTCCATCTTACCTATAGGTATCTTTTCTTTTAACTCTTTCAATATTTTGTTTGTGTCTGGTATATGTTTGAGACGGTTCATATAGTTGTCGAAGTCATTGCATATAATCTTTGAGTCAGGAAATATTGTATGGCACAAATGAGATATATAGAAACTTCCACCGAACAAGTCTACAAATGTTAGACCATTCGGTAGTTTCTTAAGTTCTCTCAATATAATATCTTTACATCTACTCTTATTTCCAAAGAAGGGTAACGGTGGTTTTGTAAAATTCATTTATATATAATAATAAAAATGTTTTTTCCTGAAAAGTGACAGAAAAGTGACGGGGGGCTAGAGGGCACGAAGTGCCTGGAAGCCCCACTACCTTTTTTTTTTTTTTTTTTTTGTATCAAAAAGAAAGGAGGTCTGATATAGACAACATATATCGTTGAAGGTTGAAAAAATCTCTAATATTTGAGCCCAAAATTTCGAATTTTAATTTTTTGAAAAAAGAGGCCACCCGTATGTACGTTTATTTGAGAGGAGGAGGATTATATTTTTGAAAGGGTGAAACATTATGAATATGTTAATGATATAATAATATGTATTATTATAAAAAAGAAAAAATAAAGCACGTTAAAATTTTTCTTTCTTGATTTTTTACAAAATCTACTTAGAATTATGCAAAATATGACTAAATAATTATAAATTTCAAGTTAAATTTTAATTTTGATAAATAATTTAAATTTCAAAATATCAAGTTCAGTTCGACTATGTATGTAGTAATTCCTCAATAAAGTGCCAAAACCCTATTAAAATATATGAACATTTTCAACATTTTAATGTTTTTATTTAAAAATTTGATGGAATATGAGCTTCAAACAATTATTATGTAAATAAAAATAATTAAATATATGTATTTATTCGTATTACAACCGTAGTAAGTCGATTCTTCCTTTCTTCTACTGAGTTTTGAATTTGATTTCGAATTGTAAAGAGATTCAAAGGGAAAATACTAGCGGATAAAAACTACCTCCATGAAAGGGTCATAATGGACTCAAGTTGTATTTTTTGATATTTTTTGCTTTTCGAGCCTAAATAGGTAGCCAAGATAATGCCTAAAAATAAGGTTCTAAATTCTGAAGTTTACATGATCCTCTCGTGTGCACCCTTAAAATTCTTGCATAAATATAGAAATATAACATTCCCATACTATCATATGACAAATATTGTCTGTAATTGCGCAAAATCTAATCAAAAAAAATTTATAGATATGCATGACTAGGCCCAGGTATTTGGCATAACGAGAAGATAAGCTCCACATATTGGGATGGAATCACTTCTGACAATATGCAATTTCAGAAAAATATTGCTTTTTATTTTGCGATAATCGTATTTAAATACATAGTCAAATTTCACATGACATTTCGGTCTAAACAACAATGATATCATCTTCCATTTCTCCATCTCTTTCGATTAGTGCAAGAATACAACAAGCGATTGTTCATCGGGAACAGGGCTATAAATTGCAATACTGCACATAGAGAACTCTTCAATAGTTGGTCTTCGGATGTAGCACCTATCATTGTTATAGATCTGTAAAGCTGCGTTAGAAGTTAAAACCCATGAACTTTCTAATCATCATGATGACTTGCAAATCCTCCAAACCATCCACCGTCGGCTCCTGCTCGGTCGCTCCAGCTAAATTCATTGCTTTGAACACCATGAGGATTTTGGGATTGTTTTTCCCTCACCCCTTTTTTATATTTTATTCTCAAATTTGACCCGAATTGAATTTATAAAAAAAATAATACTCCTTCTTCTTTTTTCGCTTTCTTCATCAATCCTTTTAGGTGTAGATGTAGGTGCTGAACAGCTTAGAGCATCTATTTTGCGCCAAGGACAGACATTCGAAGTTCTACACGGAGCAGATAGTGAAACTTCATACCCTACAGTTTTAACAATTATTCCAAAAGATGGAACAGTTCCAGACATAATAAATGAATCAGATATCGATAAATTTGAATTCCATTTCAACAACTTAAATCTTGCAAAGAAAAATCCTAACAGCACAATCCATTATGCTTCAACATTGATGGCAAAAGTACCAACAACAGAACTTACTGATCTTTCACAAAACAGACGCCTCTGGGGACAGCCATCTCTTTATTATGATGAAAGAATTTTAATTTCAGGCTTATTACCGGAAATCCCAATTTACAGAGCCTTGAGAAGAATCAATCAAACAGTTACAGAACTAGTTCCCCAAGCTAAATCAGAATATTTAACTATTGTTGTTCCGAAATTTTATCCACAGCAAGAAAGAGATTCGCTAGCAGCTATGACAAAAGATAATGGGTTCAAACCGAATATCGCTGATTGCACAAAAGCCGCTGCATATTGGTATTTCCTTCATAATTCTGGAAAAACGGGCCTTAAGAGAGAAAAAGTTTTGTTTGTATTCTTTGGAGCATCTAACCTACAATTCGTATTAATTCAAAACTATAAAAAAGGCACAACTTCATATTCAGTTGAAAAAGAGTATTCTTTCGATGATACGATCGGTGGTCGCGATATCGATGTCGCAATTGCCGATATACTTGCTAAAAAATACAATCATACAATTACTCCTAAAATTGAACAAATTTTATTGATGGAAGCCAAAAAGATTAAAGAAAAACTAACCATTATGGATACAGTATCCGGAATGATAGATAGCATTGACGAGAATGGAGATTTCCGTTATCAAGTAACTCTTGACAATGTTTTGGAAGTTATTTCACCTTTACTTGATAGAATCAAACAAACAGCTCAGCGCATTAAGAAGATACCGGACAAAGTGTATTTGCTTGGCGGAAGCTCAAGAATCCCTACTTTTCAGTCAATTATCAAGAGAACTTTCAAAGCTGCAAAAGTATACACTTCTATGTCCAAAGATGAAATGCTTGCATCAGCTGCTGCAATGCTCTCCGCAGAATTAAGCTCAGAATATCAATTGCCGCCATTAAATTACACGTCTCTCAAGATTTACAACATGACAGTTAAAACTCCAGACAAAACTCTCCCATTTGAAGGGATAGTACTAGAACCAGACGAAAAATACTGGGTAAAGCAGAACGGAGAGTATTTCCCAACTGGATCAAATTATTACATGATCTGGAACCAAGCAGGAGAGAACACAACGTTCAGACAACTCAAAGATGGACGTTGGAGGTTCCAAAACCCTAAGAGTAAATTGTTCCAACCTTGGAGAGCTCAATTATTGCTCACAGGAAGGAAAATTGTTAAGCAAGAAGATGATAGAATCGAATTACAGAAGACTATCAACTCAATGGAACAGCTTCTCCTTCAAACAACAGAAGTTTTGATGTCGAACCCGAATTATACGACACAAAAAGAAAGGAAGCTTCTTGAAACAGCAGCAAAGGTTACAAACAGATGGTTCTTGTCTCAGAAGACTTATAATATCACTACATTACGTTACAGATATAAATTATTGGAAGATGCCTTTTCTTCTGTCTTCACAAGAGCTCAAAATGCTGAACTACTACCTCAGGCATTGCATAATCTTACGCAAACTATCAAATTTGCCAAAGAACAAATTTCGAAATGGAGTTTATCTCCGAAATCGAAACAACCAGATCGTCCTGACGTCAGGAATATATTGAGAAATATTATTGACGCAGAAACATGGCTCCAGGAAAGAACAAAAATGCAGAAGAATCTTGATTTCTTCGATCCACCAAAATTAACTTGGTATGGAGTTAAAGAACAGACAGATAGAATTGCTGACTTGTTGGAAGACGTGATTAAAGGTCTCCAAGGAGCTCATCAACAGCAGCAACAGCCACAACAGCAACAAAAGGAAGGTGTTTATGTTTACCCTCCAGAATCTGTTAATGTTAATTACAATAATAATGTTAAAAATTGATTTTATTATTATTTTCGAATTAAATTCTTTAATTTTTTTATAAATCTATCAGAAAAGAAAAACAAATCATAAAGTTTATCTGGAAAAAATAAAGTAATCATATATTTGGCTGTGCAATATATGGTGACAGAGAAGGTAATGTTGTCATATATTCTGATCCGAATCCTCGTTTTTCTTCTTTAATTACAAAAACATCTTTGAACACAGGATACCCCATAACTGGTTTTTTTTAAGAAATGATAAATAATTTATCTATGTATTCCACGATTTCAGGCGAATTAGGTGCAATTTTAGAAATCAACAACGAACAACATAAAATGGAAGCAGAATTTCTTAAGAAGATTGAATTGACGTCGGGAATATAGACTGGAACCAGAAAAATAGACTTGAACCAAAACATATTGAGAGGGAAAAAATCTTCGAAACTTTGTTAATTTTACTCATTGCTAGGGCTGTACAAAATCGAGAAAAACATTGCCGTGCGGTAATATAGGGTCAAAAAAATCGCGCCTCGGCGGCTCTGCCGCCGCCTCGGCACTATTAAGTGCGCATTATATTTAATATGTCCTTCTTTTTCTTCTTCTTTTCCTTTCCTTCTTCCTCTCCTTCCTCTTCTTTCCTTCTCCTTCTCTTTTTACAACAACGTCGAAGATCTTCGAATTTGATTGTTGGAAAAGCATCTATTTCAGATAAAGGATGCCTTTCTCACAGTCAACATACGAGAGTCCTGGCTGAAACGTTCTCAAAAAGCCTGAGATGGTAATTCTCTGATCACTCATAGCTGGGAAGGTAGTCATTGGTGACAATACCTGTCTTTATGCATGCACGCTTTCATGTATATGGGTTTACACTATCAATTCGCAAAGTTGTTCCGAATTCTTCCAAAATGGAAGGACCCGAAACAACTTTGCTTGTTAACGATACAGACGCATTACTTTGCATTGATACTGTGCTGAGTTGTGTAGAAAGTTTGATTAGAGTTGTTTTGTTCTGGTATCTCTCATCTTCTGATGAGAGAAATCAAAGCAACACAACTCTAATGAATTTGTTTTCACTCATTTGTATGTAGGTTTTTAGTTCGATTGGAGCTGCTTCATAATGAGATCTCTCATCAATTGATGAGGGAGATCATAACAAAGCAGCTCTAATGTATATGCTCGTATTAACCGGGTTGTAATGCGTTGTAACGTCAGCTTGTAGTTCGTTTGGGGCCACTTCACATTGAGATGAGAAGAAATGATTAAAGGACTCTGAAAGGCTTTGGCCGTTGATGTTGTAATCGCATTACTTGGAACTAGCTGGATGCTAAGCTGTGTAGAATGTTCGATTAGAGCTGTTTTGATATGATTTTTCTCATCATAAGATTGGAGGAATCATAGCAAAACAACTCTAATGGGTTTACCATCATCTACTTGTATGTAGATGTTTGGGAAATTGTCTTGTTAATCGATTTTCGAGATGACTTTCAAATGCTATAATCAAATGACAAACAAGTCTAAGATTTCTCGACAATACATCAAATCATGATGTTTGTAAGTGCGATGAGATTAGAGTTTTTGAAGGAATGACAAGAGAAGTAGGGAAGCTCGGCATTCGCCGAGCAAATTAAAAATTAACGTATGGATTAAATTTTAAGAGGAATTCAATTTTAATTACGGGTTGTTCAAATATTGATTAATATAAATTTATTAATAAGAATAAACAATTTTTGTTTTGAATTTATTCAATTTATAGCTTTACATATAGTTTCAAAATTGTACAACTATGATTATTTCAACAAAAAATATCTTACTTTTTCACTTCACTTTCACCCTCACTTTTTCCGTAATTCAAATTTCAACATTATGTATTTTAATTCCTTATAGTATTTTTAACATAATTAATCAAATAATAATTGGAAGTTCTGAACTCACTTTTTCCGTAATTCAAAATCAAAAATATGAATAATATATCTATTTATTATATACTAATGCTATTTTCAACTAGAAGTGAGGTACGGTAATCTTACGGATTCCCGGAACTCAATTTTACGGAAAAAGTGCAGTAAACTACTCAATTTACGGAAAAAGTGTCGTAAACTATTGATGTGGCGGTAAAATCACATTAATTCACGGAAAGCTATATGCGAAAATTTGAAATTATACAAAATCGAGCGAAACACTTTTAAATAGGTTGTTCTCGTATTTAAAATACTATTCCCAAATTTATTGTCGTCAGAATATTTCCAAATTTTTGCCGATTTACAAAAAATGATTTACAAAGCATATTTTTTAATCTAAAAAATTCCTAAAAAAGGAATCGGTGTGCGGAAACCTCGGTAAATTACCACGGTTCCCGTTGGGACTGCCATACTCATTGCTATATGATAATCAGATTTTGATTTTGGTTCCCATATTCAACATTTTTTTAAGAGCACCACGTTAAAATAAAAAAATTGTAAAAGTCGTATTTTTGATAATTGATAGATAAGTAATCAAATTACTTTGAGATCTCAAGCAAATCTGCAATGTCGCAACGTGAACTGAAGATCGGATAATATTTTTCTTGATTTTTTTATATTTGAAATTTTCCTATGATAAAAGTCAAAAATATCTAATAAAAAATCAACAATTATCTTTTATTTTTAATAAGTAATTAACTAAAAATTATATCAAGCTTTAGAAATGGGTTTTAAAAATTTGGATTTTTTTTAAAAAATCACTTCATTTCCTTTTGAATCACTTAATTAACTTCGACAAGTTTTCCCTACTTCAAAAATTTATTGTGGAGAAAAGATTAGAAGTAGAGGATGGGAAACACACAACATACAGAAGAATTAAAGATGCTTTCTTCGAAAAAAATACAGAATTAGGTTTTACTCAGTTTACAAAGATTTCAAACAAAAATATAATAAAGGCTTTAGCAAGAGCTTCCATGGGCCTTGTTTGGGACCTTGGAATGAAAGGAGGAATCGATTCTTATTTAGTCGATCAGGATATTAGTAAATTGAAAGCAGAGATTCATCAATTACACGAAGAAGGCGAAATGCTCGATAGAATTGAAATTGCGTCTCTTGCTTTCAGTATAAAAGTTGCGAGATATTCAGAAGCAGTACAGTTTCTCAATGCCATTGAATGTCCTTCTCTAATTGCATGAGCTGAATCATTCGAAGTTGAAGAACCAACACACCAATGGGTGAGTAACTTTTTGAAAACAAATAAGATTCCTTATATAAAAAGTGCGGGATATCAGCCCAGAAAGATATACTGCTTGTCCTCGCAATAAAGTTATAACCTACCATCAATCAATTGCTCAGCTAATTGCACAACATCCACGTTCTCTTACTTTTAATATGGATGAATTTATGATTTCAGCATTAAAGGCTAAAAATGCTGCAATTCCTGATGCAGTGAAGCAAGCAATATCAAAAGGTTTGCCCGATCTGCCACACATTACGGCAATGTGTTGTTGCAGTTTAGACGGGGTTTCGGTACCCCCTCTTATCGTTCTCCCCGATCTAATATATCTTCCCCCTGAATTGGAGGAATTCTCAGATTCAGGAGAACTCTTCTTTGCGTCGAGCAGCAAAGGTTGGATCACTCGCAAAATCTTCCTTATTTTGATGATCCATTTTTGTTTGTTTGAAAGTTGATTAAGATCTAATCTTCATTACAGCCTTCGCTATAGAAGTATTTTCCTCCTTGTTGACGGCCACTTATCACGTGAATGCTCAATTGCATTAAGACTTTTGAAAAACTTCAATGTGAGGTTCTATGTTTTCCCGTCACACTGTACACATGTCTATCAGCCGTTCGATGTTGGACTCGCTGGTGTATTGAGAAGGAAATTCACTAAGTATTATCGTGATAACTTGATTGACATAGAAGAAACTGTCATAAGACGAAATGGTGGAAGTGAGGTGAAGTCAAAAACTGACACATATTTGGCCGGCTAAATTCCCTTTTAGTTTACATGTCAAAATTACAATAAATTAATTATTTTGCTTAGCAATTAGCTATGTATTAAAACTAAAATTATTACTATTCAATTCTTTACATTCAAATATTAAACAATTCAAATTTAATAACAAAGATATTACAATAAATAAAAAAATGATTAAAAATGTCCCTGAAAATTTTCTGAAAGCTATCTCGTGTTTAGGTCTCAATTTTTTTAGAAATAGAAAAAGATTGGATTTAACTTTCAAACATTATATATAGTTTTGTATATGGAAGCCTTTAAATACAAGTTAATGATATGGAGTTGTATTGCGAGGAAGAGGGAATCAAAGAAATTGACGAAGTTCCAGAATTTTATTCAACAATTCTTAATCAATTAACAAAAACTATACCGAAACTTATCTTACCATCCAAATCAAATCACATTACATACGGAATAAACATTTAATCTTTTACCATTAAAATTATATTTATACGTTATTTGATTTTTTTACGTCTAAGTTGAATAGGATAATAGCCGAAGATATAAAGTAACTATAGTTTACAAGCTAAGGAACAAATCAGCATTGAAACTAAAAAATGCTGAAATATTATAATAAATTGAAGAAATACTGTGATAGAATACCTAGTTATACTAGATACTATTATAATATGAATTCATTTGTATTGAATATCGATAATAAAAAATCGATGAAATATTAAAATGAGAATAAATTAATAATGAGATTATAAATTAGAATTATTTCTCTTTTATTTAAAATAAAAACTTAGTTCTATTTAAATTCGATAAAGAAGTACGAAAAAGTTGTATTATACGTATGATGTTGCCCGATGTTTGGTAACACTATTGTAGAATATAAGCATATATGATAGAAAAGCATATATGATAGAAAAGCAATATGCTTAATATCGAGTAATTCTAATTTTTTACGAAATTATTCAAATACGTTATTTTTTAAAATAAAAAGATAAGCATACCATTATGCAGTAGTTTGCGCACATATACTATGCTGATGAAAGTTGGTCTCTAATTCGAAACTTGAGTCTGTCAAATTGACGTTCAAGTATTAAAAAGTTGTATTATACGTATGATGTTGCCCGATGTTTGGTAACACTATTGTAGAATATAAGCATATATGATAGAAAAGCATATATGATAGAAAAGCAATATGCTTAATATCGAGTAATTCTAATTTTTTACGAAATTATTCAAATACGTTATTTTTTAGTTTCAATGCTGATTTGTTCCTTAGCTTGTAAACTATAGTTACTTTATAGCTTCGGCTATTATCCTATTCAACTTAGACGTAAAAAAATCAAATAACGTATAAATATAATTTTAATGGTAAAAGATTAAATGTTTATTCCGTATTTAATGTTGTTGCATGCTAAGATCAGTCATAATGTAAACCTCTCAATTTTATTGTCGTGGGAAGTATCTCAATTCCTTCAAAAAAATTGAAAAACTATTTAATTTTAAAAATATAATACTTTTAATTAGTTAATTAATTGGAGATATTTTTAAAAAATCACTTTTGATAATACTTTTGAGAACTTTAATTAAAAAAATATATTCAAAAATATCCAGGATATCAAGAGGGAATTGTTCCTTATGAGGTATATAGTTATGATGTATACCTCATAAGGAACAATTCCCTCCTTAAAACGAGAAAACTTGTTCGAAATTGTTTATCATTTCGAACAAGTTTTCTCGTTTTTAATAAGAAACTAAAGGCTATGAGGCACTGATTATATATTAGTGCCTCACAGCCTTTAGTTTCTAATAGATAGCTGGGAAACTTTCTCCAAATGATAAGTTATTCAGAGAAAGTTTCCCAGCTATCAAGAGGGAATTGTTCCTTATGAGGTATATAGTTATAATGTATACCTCATAAGGAACAATTCCCTCCTTGAAATCGTAGGCATTTTTATACTTATTACTCCACCATTCAAAATCATATTCCTCTGAAAAGTTATTTTATTAAAAATTTAGAATTTTAATAAATATAGAGTTTGAATTTCATACAATACCTATATATTTTCAATAATGGAATTTGAAAACCATTCTCAAAAGTTCTCAGAAAACCTTTTTTTCATTAATTTTAAGAAATCTGAGTATTAAATTAAGTGATAAATTCGTTTGACACTACTTTAATTTTTAAATTCAAAAAATTATATGTGCTTCTTAAAATGACTCAAAAAATTTTATTATAAAATAATATATAATATTAAAAATCCCACAACATTTTTTACTTTACATAATCGTACTTCCTCGACGATTAATTTCCACTCAATTTCTATCGTTGACCGAACTTAGCATGCAACAATGTGATTTGATTTGGATGGTAAGATAAGTTTCGGTATAGTTTTTGTTAATTGATTAAGAATTGTTGAATAAAATTCTGGAACTTCGTCAATTTCTTTGATTCCTTCTTGAAGCGTTGAAATTTCTTATTGACTCTCTTTTTATAACTTTTGAAAGAAACCGTAAAAATTGTGAAACATGCTTTTTAATAAAAAACAATTTTGATGAAAACCATAAATTAATTTAAAATTGAAATAATTTTTTGAAATCTATGATATTGAATAAAAAAATTTATAGTGTAGATATTGATATAGATATAGATGTTAATTTTAATATGATATTTGATAAAATTTTTTTATCAAAACATACTGATAATAGGTTGACATGTAATATGATATTTTGCCTTGTAAATATATTTGGTCGGCAAAATAACCTAATTACTCTTATTTTGAGTTCACTTCCACCATTTCGTCTTATGATAATATTGAATTTTTGGAACTTTTGATAGAGCACGTTTTTAAATATTAATTAAAGTAAATGTATATTTTGTAAAGATTCTTTTTAATAAAAAAATAAAATTTTGAAGAAGAACACAAAATCTTCTGAAAAATAATATCACATAAACTCATATTATTTTCTAATATATAACTATTTTATATAAAAATCAAATTCAATGATCTTAAAAGCGAAGGATAAACCTCAAAATTTACGAATATAATGAGTGGTAATATAATGCTTATCTATCATAAAACCATATGAAATATCAATTTTTGCTTTACGCCTAATTTTTGACGACAATTAGCAAAAAATGTTAAATGTTAACACTCAGTCCATTTGAATATGAAAAATAAAATTGACTTTGATTAAATGTTTTTATTTATCATGCAATTCTTCTTGCGACCAAAGATTTGAATAAAATTTCAAAAAATAAGATAGCTTAAAAATAATATACGGTAGTGTTTACTAATAGATGAATAGTATATAAATTCTATTAAAATGGATTTGATCCAAAAAATATATAAAATTTGATCATAAATAAAATCGTTTTAAATTACTTCTTCATTTAAATTATAACAATTATTTTTGGTTTTATATTTTTTTGGATCAAATCCATTTTAATAGAATTTATATACTATTCATCTATTAGTAAACACTACCGTATATTATTTTTTAAGCTATCTTATTTTTTGAAATTTTATTCAAATCTTTGGTCGCAAGAAGAATTGCATGATAAATAAAACATTTAATCAAAGTCAATTTTATTTTTCATATTCAAATGGACTGAGTGTTAACATTTAACATTTTTTGCTAATTGTCGTCAAAAATTAGGCGTAAAGCAAAAATTGATATTTCATATGGTTTTATGATAGATAAGCATTATATTCCCACTCATTATATTCGTAAATTTTGAGGTTTATCCTTCGCTTTTAAGATCATTGAATTTGATTTTTATATAAAATAGTTATATATTAGAAAATAATATGAGTTTATGTGATATTATTTTTCAGAAGATTTCATTCTATATGCCTATGAAAAGTACTCTCAAAACTAACTTTTCCTAATTATGCTTAGTATTATTTCATTTTTCTCATTCAATTTAGAATTTACAAATGTCAAAAAATTGAGAGCTGTTACTTTTGATGAATTTCTGTTTATTACAGTAATAGTGTAATATGGATTGTTATATACGAAAACGATAAAAACAGTTTGACAGAAAAGTGACAACTTTACGTGTCAAAAATAGAAAAAGTGATATTTTATTCGTAATATTAAAATGAATCATCATAATCTTCTTCATAAGGGTCTTCATAATCTTCTTGATATTCTTCTTCATAATTTACTTCGTATTCTTCTTCTTCATTACTATCTTCTTCTATTTCAACCGGATTCGC